AATTATTTAAAGTACTGTTAAATATTTCCTAATATTACAACATTTATTATTATAAAACCAAAACTTTGATTAATTCCAGGTTTATCTGGAAAAAGAAAGAAATGTTCAATGTGAACTCAGACGTTGGATGCCCCTGTATATCAATAAAGTTGACATTTTTTACCATTTTTCAGTATCTAGATGTTTAAGCTTATAAAACATCTAACCCATCAGATCGCTCAGGGTGAAAAACAGTGGATTTCAAAATCTCAGTGGGAGTGAAATCATTAGTACGTTTGAGATGGTGTGTGTGTGTGTGTGTGTGTGTGTGTGTACTGGTGGGTCACAACAGATTACGCAGACGAAGTGAGTAATGATGCTATTACTGCACTGTTGACAGCCATGTGCCTCTTCATGGGGATTTTTGTGTGACTGCATGAGTCCATACGGCTGTTTACACATCGTACTGCCAATCCAGCAAAATGTAAAATTGCACAATGCAGTTGGGGTTCCATGATCCATCTATGGATCTTAACTGATGAATTTAGAGTCGGATATATCTGCAGTTTGAGCCACTGAGACGTAATTTGAGAGCCTCAAATGATAAGAGATGCAAACCGCCAATAGAGAATGAGTTGAGACTAGATAAGAGGTGTAAGTGTTTATGGCATTGTGGGAAGTGGAAGTGTACGTCTGTGAGAGAGACAGATGAAGAGAGATGCTATCTCACCATAGTGAGCTCTGCCTCCAGCTCTTTGATTCTGTTCTCCTTCATGTCTATCTGGGAGTGCAGGACGCTGGCTTGTTCTGTGGCCTCTTTGCTCTGCCGGCGCAAGTCCCATTTTTCTCTCTCCAGCATGTCCTTCTCTTTAGCCAGAGCCTTTACCGCATCCTCACTCTCCTGTAGGGACAGCACACAGTCAGCGACGGTCCGTTATACATGAGTAACATGCATACACGCTCAAGAAACTGACGATCCATTTGTATGACGATCCATACTGTTGAATTAATGTTTACCTATATATTGCACATACAACTAAATGCATAAAAATCATCTTACTGATCTTCAGTTAAACAAGTGATGAAAGCAACACAAATAAATAATACAAGCAAAGATATATGATAAATAGTATATTTGACTGACACTCCTGACAAAAGATCATATCAGCCAGTGCTAAATTAATTGTTCTTTGTAAATCTAAAATGATCGAGTGTAACCCTGAACAAAAAGAAAAAGATTAAATAATAATTACAGCACGGTAGGTTTAATGTTGGATTGACAGATTTCATTTTTGAAAGATTATGTCAGAAGATGACGCACATAAAGTGTCAGTGGTGAATTTAATGCACAGGTAATGCATGTCACCTTTCTGTGCTGGTCATAGTTTCTGATGAAGTCTCGGAGCTGCTCTTCTCGGCTCTCCAGTGTTGTGTACAGCTGCTGCATCTGGTTCACCAGGTCAGCCTTTTCTGCCTTCAATCGCTTCCGATCGCCCTTCATAGCTATACACAAACATGCACAATCAGATTCATAAATGCAGTAATAATGTTCTCTTTTAGCACATCTTACAAGTATATAAAAATCGGAGTATTTCCTAGATCATAACATTTATATTTCATCATTTTTGCAGTGTGGCTGCAACACAAATACAGGCTTTGTGCCCTTGTATGACATGCGTCTGCGGTTTGTCCTCTGACCCCTATCTGTCAAATAAGAGCTGTAGAAATATAAAATGATGCATTACCCTGTGTGTCTGTGTCTTACTTAAAAATAGGCATTCTTTATTGTTGGATTTAAGTCTTTTGTTTTATTATTATGACTAGCATAAATAAAAGTTGTAGTTAAAAAAATAGCGCAGTGCACTGCTCAAAACAGCCTCCAGGGGGCACCATGCTCCACTAAAAACATCCCGCACGGAAAAAAGACATTTGTGTTGTTTGTTATAAAATAATTAACAGTTAACACAAATGCATTCAGGTTTTAATTTGAGAGGAGTGTGAGGCGTAACACCTCATAACAATTCAATATCTTTTATTAACATTTCATTTAAGAGTGCTCAGGTTTGTTCTCTTGCAGCTTAGACAAAGTAAATCATTTATTTTACTTGAGGCAACTGTCTCTACCCCCCTCAAACTGAAGAAGGCTTCTCATTCCACAGTCAAACCCGTTTTTCCACTATCATTCGAGAGCGTTGACATTCATGAGAACACATGCACCCTGCCACCCATCACTTCTCCCTCTAACCCATCTTCTCTTTACTCCACAAGCACCAAAATGAGCCAAATACGGTTTAGTTTGCTGAAAACTGTGCTTGACGCAGTCTGTCGTGTGTGGAATATTTTTAATAAACTGGCAGGTTGCTTCCAACTCCTGTTTAAGTACAACAGGTGTTACATTACAGACTAAATGACAAGTGTCAAGTAACACAGTTGACCTAGTGTAAAGTGTGTCAAAACTGAGTGCAGGGTGTTCAATGTACAGGAGATCTCTTTTAGAAGTGTTGAAGAAACATTAGATAATATTTTGATGTGATTCCTTTTAGATACTTTGGTGAACACTGTGATATCTGAGACATGTACAGACTAAAATATGATGTCATGGTTTGCTGTATATTGACAGCTGCTGTTCTGTTAATGTAACTCTAGCCTCGAGACAAAAGAATTAACCGTTTAACTGGCTGAAGTTATCTGTTAAAGATATTTATTTAAAAACATTAATATAAGAATGTCAATACATTAGATAACAAAATATTAAACAAAACAACACTTGTTTTTAAGACCGCACCAACACGTTTCAGGTGAAACATTTTACAAAAGGAGATTAAATGGAGAGCAAATGTAGACTTTCTTCTCAGATTGTTCTCCTGAGAAAAATGCAGGTTATCTAGATTACTAGGACGTCTAGGGTGTCATCTCGTGTGATTCAGAAGAGCTCAACAATGTCTTAAACTGTGCTTAGTATTGTCATGATACCAAAAGTCTGAGATGATTTTAATATGATATATTTCCATTGAGTAAATTATTTGTTATGCTAGCTGCATTCATTTTATCATCATGAAATCGGAAATCATTCTAATATACTGAATAATAAGAGAATTATATATAAATATTTTCTTTTGATCATCTTAATGCATCCCTGCTGAATAAAAAATAAACATAGTGCTCCAAACTTTTGAGCGCATATAAATTGATCATCACTTTACAGCTAAAACAAAATAGTTGCCATGACACTTTTATACGTCAGCAGCACTTGAGTTTACTGCTGTCATAAACCACATTTCAAAAACCCTCCCTTCACACTCCATTCTGAAAGCACCTCCAGCTCACACTGCAGGAACACACTGATAAGACACACTTCTAAACGAATGACGTTATATATCAAAACCCAACTCTTTCTTCCAGTGCTTATGTCCTCTGTTTATACAAGTCTCTCAAATACACTAAAAGAGCATTACACACCAGATAAACAGATAGCAGATAAGATACACACACACACGTCTGGTCACACACACACACACACACACGTCTGGTTTGCTATCCTTGTGGGGACTCTCCATAGGCGTAATGCTTTTTCTACGGTACAGACCGTATATTCTATCTCCCTACACCAACCCTACACCTAAACCTACCACTTACAGGAAACTTTCTGCATTTTTAGATTTAAAAAAAACGGAATTCTGTGTGATTTATTAGCTTGCTTACCCGTGAGGACCTCAATTTAGGTCCCCACCGTGACACGAGTCCCCATGAGTCTGTGTGTATTCAGGTTTAAGACCCCAACAGAATGGACACACACACACACACACACACACACACACATTAAAGTATCTGGTGACAGGTAGAAAAGGCATCTATTATGCTCTCAACTGAAATACACGCCTCACACATACTTGAAAGTTCTCTTTTGATGGCATTTCTTTCATCTTTAAACTGTTTTCCATCCTCTTCACAAACAACATCAGTAATACAGCTTTATACAGAAATAGAAAAAAACATACTATGTAATTTTATAATCATACATTTTATTATTATTATTAGTTTATTAATAGTAATATGTGTGATTATTATAAGATTTCATAAATACATATTACATTTTCTGTTAGGGCTGGACGACTGATTGAAAAGTAATCGAAACCGAAATTCAGAACCTCTAATCGACATAATTTTGTCCACATTGTTTTTTTTTCTTCTTCATTTTTTTCAATCCTGTTAATACTTTCCCCAGGGTTTCCAGGTCTGCGAAAGAAAACAAGCCCGATTGCTATTCAAAACTAGACCAAAACTACCCAAGTGCGTTTTCCCCCGGAGATTTCCCCTGTCAAAATCGCACTAAGATCGCTTTAATAAAAAAAATAAAAAAAACGGACTAAAAAACAAACCGTGGCAGCAGCCCAAATTGGAAACCCTGACTTTCCCCTTAAAAACATACTACAGCATGTGCAGTCACGTAACTCCATCCGTCAGCGGCATGGAAGCAACATAGAACTGCTTTTTACAGATTTTTAATGTGAAAATATCCTTTTTACATTCAAACTGAAACTTTTTTCATAAGACGTTTTGATTTCAAGAAATGTGTGCTTTGATTTCAATTGTTCGAAATATTATATATAACCATAAATAGTTTGTTTCCTTCAATTATTTTAAAATCACAAAGATAAGAAATGCACAATTTCATTAGAAAAAATATCCCATCTTTAATAGTTTAGCATAATAGAAGCAAATAGAATAATCGTTCATTAATTTTAATCAAGGTAATATATTCAGTTATTTTGATTTTAGGTCAGATCGTCCAGCTCTATTTTCTTTCTTTCTTTCTTTCTTTCTTTCTTTCTTTCTTTCTGTGAAAATACTTGGTGCTGTAATGATGCTCTATGTACCATTTTTGAAGACAAATAAATTTTTACACTTTATTGATTTGTATTGAATTGCAACTTGATACTTGCTACTTGAGTCTATGTAATTGTAACTAGGAGAATTTTTTGTAAATAAAAGCTTTTGTAAATTCTTTCTTTGTAAACTAGTCAACCTCACTTATCGACTAGTTCCATAGTTGGATGCCCACCATGACCCATCTCTATTACTGAAACAATGATTTTGAGTAAACTCGGGCAGTATTGATGTGTCTAGGGAGAGTGAAGCGCTTCAGCAGCACACGGGGGATTTCTCTGGTAATCCTGCAATATTAGCTTTGTGATTGGGGTTCAGACCTTGTAAGGCCTCCTTGGCACGTTCCAGCTCCTGCTCCTTCTCCCCCAGCTGCACCTTGAGCTCGGCGGCAGAGAGTGTGTCAGCCGAGCAGCCGCCGTGCGAGTCCTCCAGGTCTTTACTCAACATGTCCTTCATCTGCCTGAGGAGGTACACCTCCTCCTGCAACTGAGCCACCTCCTCCCTCAGCAACACTGCGGGAGAAATCCAGAGAGACGGCGATAAAGAAATCACTTAGTAACAAGTAGCTCTCAGCAAGTCTTCTGTTTTGATGCTACATATTATTTTCCATGTGGCCAGCAGGCTAAGAGGAAACAGCATAATTATGACAAACAAAGAGTGGCTGTTAAGATTTTTTTTATTTCTCACTCTTAAACAATGCTATCTTTCATCCCTTTTTAATCACAGAGAAGCAGATCACATAATAAAAAAAGCAGCATTCAGATCTGGAGGGGGTGAGAGACAATTTCTATGCCATTTCCAAGGCTCTTTCATAGAGTCAAAGGAGTTAGAGAACAGACACATTAGGAATGAGAGCAAAACCACAGCAACAAGAGCGGGACACAGGCCCACTTAAAGCAAAACAGCAGTAATTTGCAATATATCAACAAATACACAAGCACAACTGTTAATGCATTGAGAGACGGGAAGCTGAGAGGACAAAAATATTCCAGAGCCTTTTTTAACGAGCGGAAGAGTGTTGCCTACTTTGCTTTGAATGACAAACAAAAAAAAACCCAGCCCATATCTCAACCCTGCACAGAGTGCCTATAAACCAGAGCAAAGCTGATTGAAGGACTTTCAGAAGCTCATGTGGCGACTTTCTGTTGTCAACATTTCAAGTCTTGTCCCTCTAATGTGGCGGAAATTCACAGAACATCATCGAGTTGCAAAAGTAAGCCGAATTAGCCGAGCTGCCAGTCAGGTGCGCTCTGCCTCTGCTGATATACGCTCAGTAAGTGAATAAATTAAACAGAGGCCTTCATTCAATGTACTCTGCATTACCAGGCAACAGCTGCGACATCAATCTTTTTCAAGGGAAACGAGGGAGCTTATCAAGTCATAGAATTCAATTAACTGTAAACTATAATGCACCCACGCTGCAGCCTGGACAATGAAGGCCTGGCTGGGATAAAATAAATCTACAGCACTTATCAAGAGCAATCAATAGAGTTAATGAGGTATTTTGCTTGGAGTGCAACACAGTAATGTAGAATTCATCCCACCAGGCATGTCATGGTTTTGTATGTTTTTTTTTTCTTTCTGCTTTTGAGTGGCAGTTGCAGTCCTGGGTGCATAAGACACAACAAAAAAAAAAACACTTCTAAACAAAGTAGCAGTTCATTCTAGAAATTTAAAGGGTTAGTTCACCCCAAAAAGAACATTTTGTCAATAATTACTCACCCTCATGTTGTTCCAAATCCATAAGACCTTTGTTCATTTTTAGAACACAAGATATTTTGAGTAATTAATGACATAATTTTCATTTTTTTGGGGTGAACTATCCCTTTAAAATGTTTTATATTATACGCTCAATAACCCTTGGGATGTGTTAAATGCATTAATAAATTATTAATAATAAAAAATTAATCAAATTAATTAAAAAACATGTCATTAATAAAAAAACGTGTTATTATTTTCATAATGAATCACACCAAATTAATGTGTAAAAGCAACAGCCCTTAAATATTTTAATAGTGTGTATATATTTTTAATGTAATTTAACAGAGCAGTTTATTAATCAAATATGTAATTATTTTGTAAGTTGTATTTAATTGCAGGGTGCATGTGTCAGCTGACTCTGTGTGAGTGCAGTAACCACTCACCTCCACTTTAATGTGACATGAGAACACTCGATGAAAGCACTTCCAGATAAAACTGACAATTTAATCACTTAACCCACTAGTGTCGCAATTCGATAGCGGATGTTTGGAAGCGATCCCACTCTTAACGTGCGAGACAGAGGGGGCCAGCCGTGAGTAGAGATAGCACCAGGTGCTCCAGGCATTTCTTCAGCAAGCCGTTGACAAGGTGAGCGTCTGCAGCACTGCTGATAAGACAGAGACGGGGGCAACCCACTGGTCAGTGCCCACTACCAGGGAGAGCTAAGCAACCGGGTTTCAACATGGCACAGGAAGCTCCTTTTCCTGGTAAGTGTCATCTTTCATGCTGTCGCGATGGAGAGCAAGGCCACTTATTCATTTGTTTAACTCAGCGGAGACTTATTTGGGGCAGTGGGTCCAGCTGTTGTCCTGCTTTGAGCCTCAGCACAAACACAGAGCTTTGGCTTACTACCAGTACTTGTATGAGAACTATGTAGCTTCTGCGCTCTAACAGCAGTTCTGCTGCTCTGTGCCAAACTTGGGCTGAGAGTGCAAAGAGTATGAATCATAAAATTACACATGTATGAATCATAAAAATCATACAAATCCTTCATGTTAAACCACACATTTTGCAGCAAACACACACCAGTGTCAATCTCTGAAAATTCAAAAATCATGGGCTAAAAAAGGTTCTCTCAACAACAAACAACATACTAGCCATTGATTGAATCAACACTGATCTCTGAGATGCTGAAATATACAAACAATTCAGTTCAGTTTTATTTATTCTTAGTGTTCCCAAGATACAAACAAATCAGCAGACCACAACACTTCTTGAGGATATAAAAGAGGTTCAGAAAGAAGTCAAATGTTGCGTCAGAGACAAATGTCAGAATAAAAAACAACTCAATGTTTACTACTGCGATCTGGGAAACTGCACATTTTGACAAGGAATGGCCATTTGCAAAAGGAAATACAGGCACATTACAACCAAAACAAACAATACAACTCAATAAACTTCAATAAAACCTGTGTAAGATAAGCCAAACACTGATTTGAGTGAAATTACTTTATAAATCCAGTGCATTATCTAAATGTCCACTTATCATTGTTGTTATTGTTGACCAAAACTAAAACTATTAAAAATTGTCTTTGGTTATTGAAATATAAAAAAAAAAAATAAATACAAGATGAAAAACTAAAAAACATAAATTAAAATGATAAATTATACTAAAATGAACTGAAATAAGTACATTGAAGTACTAGAATTACCAAAACAGACAAAAAGTTACATAGGTCCTTAGAGGTATTTTTCACTATGATAACTTAGATGCAAAATAGCGTTTTTATGAAATACAAAAGGACGCGAGTCCATGCTGTGATACAAGACATAAAAGTAGCAGTGGTTTTAGTTACCCAGATGAACGGACTGATGCACAGCACTGATATGAACGATAAAGAATATTAGGAAACATCTGACTGCTGAATTGATCAATCAGAATGAAGTATTTCAGAGAGTATTTATGTAACAAAATAAATTAAGTAAATAGTGTCTATTTGAAGAGGATGATGAGTCTGCACTCACAGGGTTGTAAGAAATCTCATCAGAACTTCATGAAAGGAGAAAGTGTCTTTGGGTCTTTATGCTCTAAGAACTGAGGTTGATATACACAAAAGCAATCAGGCCCCTAATTCCCCAAAATGCAGTGTTCAATCGATTCGCAATGGTGTCATGTCTCCTTCTCACTTATCATCTCAAGAGCCAAACTAACCATGCACTTCTTTGCTTTGCAGCCTCAGTGTGAAGAGAAATCGAAGAAAAACTAAGCTAAGTCAAAAAGTAGTTATGGATGAGTCTGTAGACAGCACGATAAAACTCAGTTTTTCAGCTGTAAAGCTACTAAACTTTATTTTCTAGATTTAATTTTGATCAAGTCTGTTATTCAAACTAGAATCAAGAAGAATCAAATCGATGCAAACCACTAAATACTTGTTTAACTTTAATTCTATCACACTCATAAAAAGGAAAATGATTTAATTTAACAGGCTAGTAAAATCACAGTCACATTGACGCTGCTGTCTGGTGCCACATAAAATGATGACAATAACCAGCTATATAAACTTTGCAGCGGCAGCAATATCTCACCCTCATGTTGTTCCAAATCCATAAGACCTTTGTTCATTTTTAGAACACAAGATATTTTGAGTAATTAATGACATAATTTTCATTTTTTTGGGGTGAACTATCCCTTTAAAATGTTTTATCCCTTTGCTCAAAAACATAATATACATGTTTTTTCCCCGATAATAAATTCATATATATTACTAAAAATGCATGAATAAATATTAATAAAACATTAAATGCATTAATAAATTATTAATAATAAAAAATAAAAAAAATTATTAAAAAACATGTCATTAGTAAAAAACATGTTATTATTTCCATAATTAATCACACCAAATTAATGTGTAAAATCAACAGCCCTTAAATATTTTAATAGTGTTTATATATTTTTTTGTAATTTAACAGAGCAGTTTAATATATATATATATATATATATTAACAAAAAGTAGTTATGGATGAGTCTGTAGACAGCACGATAAAACTCAGTTTTTCAGCTGTAAAGCTACTAAACTTTATTTTCTAGATTTAATTTTGATCAAGTCTGTTATTCAAACTAGAATCAAGAAGAATCAAATCGATGCAAACCACTAAATACTTGTTTAACTTTAATTCTATCACACTCATAAAAAGGAAAATGATTTAATTTAACAGGCTAGTAAAATCACAGTCACATTGACGCTGCTGTCTGGTGCCACATAAAATGATGACAATAACCAGCTATATAAACTTTGCAGCGGCAGCAATATTTTCTACTGCATAGATTGTCTTTATCTGACAGTTTTTGGCCTGCGGTTCTGCAGTTTTGTGATAAAGCATTTTGCAAAGGGCTGAACTCCAGAATGCACGTTTCAACGTATCTGCAGACAAGTTCTGATGTACAACCACCTCCGTGAAACTCCCAAACAACTTGTAAATGTAACTGGGTCCTTAGGCAACTCTAAAAAATGTTCTTAAAAGGAGTTCATCACAGAAAATATAGCACAAGAGGAAAAACTAAGCATTATTTGTAGCACAGAAATCAATCATTGAGTTGGTTCTCTAAAAACAAAGTGCATCTTTACATGAAGTTCTGGGGTCCCGATGGCCCTAAAAGACTTCTAACCCAGATTAGACCACATAAGGTCAATGATGGAGTGGTTGCAGGTGTCTCCAGCCTCTGGCACACTTTCGAAATCTCAAGGGACGGCTGGATTCATGGAATGATCCAGATATTAAAGGGCCTTAACGCAATGGATTTTGCATGCAA